AAAGGTCTACAGGACAGGGGATGCAGGTCAGTGGTAGAAGGCTTGCCTAACATGTGCAAGTCTCTGTGTTCAATCTGAACACAGCAAAGAGCCAAAAAGAACAGCACACTGAAGGTTTAGAGTGAAGGTGAATGCCAGTCATGCCAGTCTTAGGGAGAAGCTGGACTGGAGCCTGTCAGCCTGGTGGCCCCCTACTGCCCACAGTTTATGAGTATCAGTGCCAGCAGCCAGCTCCAATCTCCCCCTTACCCAGAACTCCAAGGTCAGTGCAGTGTGAGCTCTACAACTTGAGTGCACGATTCCATGCCCCTGTGCACTGTAGTCTAATCACTTCCGGGGGAACACTTCATCTCTCCAATGACCTTCAGGTGTGCTTATAAACACACTGGCTAAATATGAATGTATGCACACAACTACCTGAACATCAGTTTCATTTGTAATCTTCATTTCACACACTGCCTACCGAACTCTCACTCTGGATCCCACCACACACACTGTAACATCAGATGAGAACCATTATCCTCTAAAAGAAGAAATTACTCTCTTTATTGTGCCAGTCTACCTTCAGTTATAATTCCAAACCCATTCCAAAGCACCACCAGCAATACAAAAATACACATCACTTTTCTTTTCTTAGATTGTGTGGAGTATTTAAATGATCGAAATTGTTTTTGAATAAAATCATTCACTATATAACCATGTGACACTTTAAAACACTAAATCATATTCAATTAGACACCTGTACCTCTTCCAAGGTAGTTCTCACAAGAGGGAATCAGAAAAGTGGCCTGTGCTGTGAATCCTTCCCCCTTTAGGGCTGTCACAGTAACCAAGGAGTTCCTCAACAAGCAAGCTTTCCAAAACAGACTGATTCTCTCTCTCTCTCTCTCTCTCTCTCTCTCTCTCTCTCTCTCTCTCTCTCTCTCTCTCTCTCTCTCTCTCTCTCTGTGTGTGTGTGTGTGTAAATGATGTAATTAAAAGAAGGGGGGAGGGAACAGAAGGAAATGGGGCTGTAGTTCAGCAGACACAGTGCTTGACTTCCATTCATGAAGCTCCGAATCCAATCCCCAGCACCAAACGAACCAAGTGTGGTGGCACACATCTCTAATCTCAGCATTTAGGAGGTGGATATAGCAGTATCAGAAGTTCAGGGTTGGCCGGGCGGTGGTGGCACACGCCATTAATCCCAGCACTTGGTAGGCAGAGCCAGGCAGATCTCTGTGAGTTCGAGGCCAGCCTGGGCTACAGAGTGAGTTCCAGTAAAGGCGCCAAAGCTACACAGAGAAACCCTGTCTCGAAAACCCAAAAAAGTTCAGGGTCATCCTCAGCTACCAAGCAAGCTTAAAGCCAGCCAGTCTGGGCTACATGAGACCCTGTCTCATAAATACAAAAACCAGAAAAGAAGGAAATTTAACACGGTGTTCCTAAACTTCAAGTACAAACATAGACAATGGTGTCAGTCAGGGAATTATGTGCATCTCTCAGGTACTCATAAAGAGTTCAGTGCTAAGGATAACGAAAACAAGCTTCATCTGCTACAGTATCCTATAAAGAACATGTTTGCATAACAGCAATCTTTAAAAATAATAGAACTTGTACTGCTGAGATGTCTCAGGGCTAAAGATGGATGCTCCTGATAACCTGAGTTTTATCCATCCTGGGACCATGATGACAGGAGGGAACTGATTCCTGCAAGTTGTCCTCTGACAACACACACACACACACACACACACACACACACACACACACACACACACACACACACACACGTAAATAAATAAAGGTAGATTTTCAGGAAAAATCACAGCAGTCTGATGCAGAGTAGAAGATGCGCACTCTGTGTAGCAGATTCACAAGAATGGATGATTGCTCTCAGAAATTTGAGAAGTTCTGATATAATGAATTTATTTATGGGACAAATCAAGGCGATCAAAGCCTGCTGTAATTAAAGGTGTTTGGCACAGATGTTGGTCCTCAAATGCTTGCTTGTCAGCTGTCTAATCTATACTGACACTGTGGCAATTAGCATACCGTCTATAATATTGTAAATGCAAATCCAACAAAATTAAGCTATTATATATTGGGAAGTGAATGCTGACTGAGCTATCCAACGTACTTATATCTCTATTACTATGTCAGCTGTATGTATGGCACATAGCCAAATCAGCGATGATCAATATGAAGAACATCAATAAATATTCGAAACAAGGGGCCATGTGCTGACCTACACTAGTAAAACCACACAGCGTTCCTCTCAAGGGGGTAACTTTAAACATAAAGCAAAAATGGAGTTTCCAAGGGCACTTTCTAAGACACATTCAATCCCTATTTATTTACTGAGGCTCTGCTACATGCAAACACTATCCTGAGTCCCAGAGACCAAGCAATGAGTAAGATAACGGGAGGGGATAATGGGAGAGCAGTGTCTGACAGGGACGTGCTCAACAGGGAGAGGGACAGTGGGACCTGACAGGTTGCCATCCTGACTCCGAGGAACCATTCTCTCAGGATTCTATTGGCTTCTAAGTCCATCTGTTGCAGTTGGCTTCCCTCTGGGAACAGAAGTGGACGATCACAGAACCTAACTAAGTAAGAACATCTTACGGTTTAGAAGACCCCAGGACCTCCCAGGAAAACACCACTTACAAACTAAAATTTGTATAGAGACCCCTGTCCAGACTTAAAATTGGAGGAGAAAGGATAATGCCTAGAAATTTTCAAACATTACATATATCAATATCAAAGATGTGTTTTATTGCTGTCAGTAAATACCTTTCTTCCTAAAAGCAAGCCAGTCATCATTTCTGACTGGTTAACATTTTAAAACCAGCAGAAATACTTAAGGACACAAAGTTCCCTATCAGTTGCCTGCTTCTCCTAGAAAGGGTACACAAGGGCCTTTTCACCCTAGTCCCTTGTGAGGCTTTAGGATTCACAACCCTGCAGCTAGAGTTTTCCTGCCTGGCCCACAGTCAGGACAAATCTCTCTCACCTGCCAGTCCCATAGCCGCTCAATCCCAACCAAGTAAACACAGAGACTTATATTGCTTACAAACTGTATGGCCGTGGCAGGCTTCTTGCTAACTGTTCTTATAGCTTAAATTAATCCATTTCTATAAATCTATACCTTGCCATGTGGCTCGTGGCTTACCGGCATCTTCACATGCTGCTAGTCATGGCGGTGGCTGGCAGTGTCTCTGACTCAGCCTTCCACTTCCCAGCTTTATTCTCCTCCTTGTCCCGCCTATACTTCCTGCCTGGCCACTGGCCAATCAGTGAGTTATTTACTGACGAATCAGCAACACACTTGACATACAGACCATCCCACAGCACAACCCATCACTGCACTGTGAAACATCTGATGGATCCACTACAAACGCTGGCTATGTTCACTAAACCAGGAGCATCACTGGTGTGGTCCACAGTCATCTTGCATTGGCCACGGCCCGGCACTCCGACATCAGTGTCTTCTGTGGGGTCCTCAGGGCTGGTCTCCCTCACACAGCTCTCTCCCTGCTTTCTGAATGCCCACGACTCTGCCTCTTCTGCTGAGGGTGCTGAAGGCAGAACACTGAGTGGGTTTCCTTTGCTTGAAACATGCTTGTTGTGTATTTTTGCCATCAAATTCCAGTCTTTTAACATGTGTTTTAAATGACCTCTTCTGCCAGTGTACAAAAAAAAGTTTGAAAATTCAGCTGTGTTTCTATGTGACAGCTATGAACAATATAAAAGACTACAGTGATGGGGACTTTTGTCAAGGAGGTGAGGATGGCACTGAAAACCATGGCCTACCGCTGACAGGAACCCCAGACTGCAAGGAGGAACACCAGGACACTGTTAACATGACAAACACCCCAAATCAACTAGACAGCCAATGTAGCTCTTACAAAAATGACAATGGCCTTTTGTATAGACGTGGAGAAAGAGTCCTTAAGTTTGTGTGGCGAGGCCAGAGCCCCAATCATCAAGACAACAGTGTAAAGGAAAATGCTGAGACCTGCCCTTCTCACCCTTACAGCTGCACCAAGACACCACAGTCAACATAGCTGTACTGGACTACAGACCAAGAGCAAGCCTGCGCATCTGCGGCCAAATGATTTTCAACCACGCCAACATGATGGGCCACTCAACAGTCACATGGAAAGGCACAGAACTGAACCCTAGCTCACATCAAATACAGAAATACCTACCTGTAAGGACTGAAAACACAGCTGAGCCTTTGCCATCTCGGACACAGCACTAAAAGCAACCTCAAGGACAACTTGAACTTTCAAAATTAAAAGTGCAAAAGACAGTATCAAGACAATGACAAAACCACCCCAGAAATGGTGACAGTGCCCCCACCTGGAGCTGGGACTGTGGGGAAACCCACTGCATATTCAGCAGCAGCAGCCCACTCTACCCAAACTGATCCATCTAGAATCACCAAGCAGATCTTAGTACATCTGTAATGTCTCCAAAGTCAGCTTAGGACCAAGGAGTAGAGCAGGGCGCCCGAGCTAAAACTGCATCGAGGAGCAAGAAACAAACTAAGATGTGTGCTCTGCAGCCATTAGTCTTCAGACCAATTAGTTACGGCTGAGAAGTTAGCACCTGTTTTTCTGGTACAATTTACTGACAATGTTCTATTTATCCCTTCATCTCACCTTTCAAGTTACTGAAGTCCCAAGACAAAACACATAAATAGCAAGCTGCCCTACCAGTCTTCAGTGTGAATTTAATTAGTAGTGCAAACAGAGCCCGTGCGTGCGTTTAAGGGCAGCTCATTACACATCTTTAAGAGGCCACTGGAAGCCTTGATGCTACTGGTCATCCCACCCAGAGCATCCCCAGCCACACACCTGTAAAGTCGGGTTGTTGGTTTTGTTTTTAATTCCCTCTCCATATGAACAGAAGATTAAGTATCTCTGCCAATTAAAATATTATTTGTGGAGTACTATCCCGATGTGCACTCAGGCCAAACACATCATTTAAGTAATAAAGATTAACAATTTTTGAAAAAAAGTATGGAATGCTTCACGAATTTGCATGTCATCCTTGTGCAAGGCCATGCTAGTCTCCTCTGTATTGTTCCAGTTTTAATATATGTGTTGCCAAAGGGCCAAATTTAAAAAAATAATAAGGTGAATCAAAATTTTGTTTAAAACTCCTCTCTGTAATTTAAGACCCTGATCTTAAGTTCTCAACACTAACTTACGCATCACAAAACTTTGTCTATAGAAGAAATGTTTACATGAAAATTGTAGCTTCAAGAAAATGACTAAATATAAAAATTTAAACAAGTTTTAAATAAAATTGTGGTTATAAAAATTTAATTTGGGGTTAAGGATTTGATTTAGCTCAGTGGTAGAACACTAAGCACAAAACCTGGACTCAGGCCTCTGCTGAGGTGGAAAGTGGGGAGGCTTAATTGACTTTAAATTGTGTGTACCTGTTTTTTAACTCCTTAAGGAAAAATTAAAATTATCTCTTATTGTTTAAAAGCAGTAGACTCTGTGCCTAGTTTTCTCTACTAATCTGTCTTACAGATCTTAAAACCAAACCTTCCATTATTACAAAATCTGAAACAGTTTAGTTATGAGTAAACACATTTCTAGATATTCAGTCTCCAAACAGAATGCCAATATTTATGAAGCGTAATCCTTTATCTAATCAAGCACAGTAAGTCAATTCTGAGACTGTGTGACAGTCAAGTAGGGGTTAATGGAAATCAGAAACTCAGCCCCTAGGAAGAACCAAAGGAAGCAGTAACTCTGCAAAATTCCAAGAATTTTAAACCAAACCCCAGAACATACCCAGTTTTAACAAGCCATGTGGTCCAGCCTAAAGCTCCCACCTTCCGTACCTGCGCACCAGGTGACAGGCAACAGAGTCTCAAGATGCATGCAGCTGCTCTCTTTCAATGCCCATTAAGCACTCATAGAAAAGGGCTGAGTTTTTAGCACATATTTACTATATTGCCCAAAAGGATCTAATTTAAAAAGTAATTAAGGAAGGGGGAGGGGTGGTTGTGTGAGTTAGAGTGAGTGGAGACAGTGGGAGAGCCACGAAAACCTGCCTGTGGAAACTGTAACTTGTCATCAGTGCAATGTATTTAGAGGCATTCTCTGGAAAGCTACTGGGTGCTTAGTTTAAAAGTTTCTTTACAAACTTCGCAGTTTGTTGAACAAGTAAACAAGTTAAAATTTATCACAAGTCCATTCCTAAGTATTAACCCTATGTGAAGTGAAAGTTGATGGTCAGCCCTGTAACAGACACTAGTTACTTACTTGTCTGTTACTGTGATAAAACAACAGAGACAAAGAAGAGTTTGTTTTGGCTTACAGCTCCAGAGAGGCCAGCAGGAGGCAGGCATGGAAGCTGGAACAAAATGCTGAGAGTTCACTTCCTTTAACAGAAGTGAAGAGAGCACACGGGAACTAGGTGAGTCTTTTTAATCTCAAAGCCCTCCAGTGACATACCTCTTCCAGCAAGGCTGAACCATCCCAGCCTCCCCAGCTGGTGACCAAGTGTTCTAACGCCTGAGCCTAAACAGGACATTTCTCATTCAAACCACCAGAGCATGCAAGAGCTCCTGGCAGCTTTGCTGCAGAGACCAGAATCTGGATGCAGCCCAAACCTCCTTTACCTGGTGAGTAGATGAACAGGCTGGGGTGTGACTGCATTCTGGAGTACTGTCTACAATGAGAAAGCATAAACTAACACTAAACAGCCAGGTGCAAAGATGTACAACTCCATTCACACCATAAAGAGAACACATCATGGTTGCCAGTCTAGATGTGACAGCAGGGGGTGATTTAAAAATACAATAAAATTTCTAATCATATACATTTGTGTCTATATATCTCATCATAAACATTTGCCAAAGCTTGCAATTTTATATTTAGAAAGGTGGAGATACACACACATACAAAATTTATTTCTAATGCTCAAAACAAAGTTGAGAAAATGCTGGTTATCTCAGGAATATTCCAGAAACAAAATGTTCTTTATCTTACTGTAAAATGATGTTTAAGAGCTAGGTGTGGCAGTTTACGCTTTAATTCCAGCACTCTGGCAAAGGCAGGGACCAGCAGATCTGTGAGTTTGAAGCCAGCCTGGTTTACATAACAAGCCAGCCACCGCTATATATGGAGACTGTCTTAAAAATCAAACAAACAAAAAATAAAACGTTTCTCCCACAACTGATACAATGTACAGTACTGGTGGATCTAAGAACTAGAGAAACACAGGTAGAGAAGACTCCAAGAGTAGTATGAAAATAAGGGAGTGCTAGATGACACACAGCTCTCCAGCTGGAGGACAGGATGGAAAGATTGCAGCTGAAATCTCTAAGACCAGGAAAAACATGGACACACACAGAGGGAGGGAGATTATCCTAGCTATTAATCCGAGAACACCATGAAAAGAGTTTTTGCCTAAAACATTCAAGTTTTATAGTTAGGACTAAATAAGGGAAGACTTGCTGTATCTGAGGGCAAAACTACACACTCCAAAAACAGTCTAATGGGTGGGGAGGGGGCAGAAAGTATAGTCTGCAGGGTGGGGAGGGGGCAGGAAGTACAGTCTGCAGGGTGGGGAGGGGGCAGGAAGTACAGTCTGCAGGGTGGGGAGGGGGCAGGAAGTACAGTCTGCAGGGTGGGGAGGGGGCAGGAAGTACAGTCTGCAGGGTGGGGAGGGGGCAGGAAGTACAGTCTGCAGGGTGGGGAGGGGGCAGGAAGTATAGTGTGCAGGGTGGGGAGGGGCAGGAAGTACAGTCTACAGGGTGGGGAGGGAGCAGGAAGTACAGTCTGCAGGGTGGGGAGGGGCAGGAAGTACAGTCTGCAGGGTGGGGAGGAGGCAGGAAGTACAGTCTGCAGTGTGGGGAGGGGGCAGGAAGTACAGTCTGCACGGTGGGGAGGGACAGGAAGTACAGTCTGCAAGGTGGGGAGGGGGCAGGAAGTACAGTCTGCACGGTGGGGAGGGACAGGAAGTACAGTCTGCAGGGTGGGGAGGGGGCAGGAAGTACAGTCTGCAGGGTGGGGAGGGGGCAGGAAGTACAGTCTGCAGGGTGGGGAGGGGGCAGGAAATACAGTCTGCAGGGTGGGGAGGAGGCAGAAAATGGAGGAGACAGTAAATGACGCAGTGCAAGAAAAAAGCATTGAGACACTGAAGGGAAATGGTTAATCAGCTGATTAATTTGAGGACAGTAATTCTGACTTTTTAAGGAAATTAATTTTTTCAAAGTGAAACCATGTTAAGTTGAAAATAGAAACAGAATAAATGGACTTTTTTTCTTTGAAACTCAGTCTCTGTTTTATCTAGCTCTGGTGGTCCTAAAACTGGATTTGTGACCAGGCTGGCCTTGAATTCCCAGATATCCCAGATAAAAGCCTCTGCTTCCCAAGCACTAGGATTAAAGGTGTGGGCCACCATGCAGGATGGATCTTACAGGACCTGCCTGCTGTTTCAGAATAGTGCGTGGTCCCTTCAGCACACTGGATAGTGTTCATTGGGTAGTGTCACCGGGAACTAGAAGAGAGTGCTGCAGAACCAAATCAGATGACGAATACTGAAGTCCATAACTGTAAAGTGTGACTAGTTTTGTTACACCCCCTCTATGCTAATGAGCAGGAGAATCTTTTAACTAGTCAGTTAATCCCACAGGTGACTACAGTCACAGGCCATAAGTAGAGGAGGGGACAGTCTCTGCAGCACTCTCTTCTAGTTCCCGGTGACACTACCCAATGAACACTATCCAGTGTGCTGAAGGGACCACGCACTATTCTGAAACAGCAGGCAGGTCCTGTAAGGCTGACAGGTGTGTTTCAGTCTGTTCCTGCCGACAGTGTGGGAACTCTGGGGTGGGCAGGACCATTTCTGTCTGGTGCAAGTCTAGGAAGGTTTCAAGACAAAAACCAGACGATGCATTTATTCAGCAACTCTGGGAGCTGCCCTGGGCCTTTCTAGCTTTGTTCTTCCATTTAACACATTTGAGACAAATCGGCATTTGGTAGAGATAGATAATAGTTGCTTTCCAAACAACTGGAAAAAGTACATTCATTTCAGCCTAATACATATGTATGAGCAGACACAGTACTGTAGACAGGCCTGACCAATCCAGGACTCTTTACACATAACCATTCTTCTAACCCTGTCATTCAAGGCCAAACTTGACACCACACTCTTCCTTTCAGCTTCATCTTTCCGGAAACCACGGGTATTCTTTCAGAAGAGATGCCCCAAGTTTCTGTGCATCCTGAATGTTCACCATTCCAGTTCAGTTTCCCACAGCGCCCTTTGAAATTCTAAGCAAATGTCTCCAAATTGTGATGCGTGTTGCACATGGGGACAGAAGCCACACCAGTGGTGACACATAAACATTTCTTTAAGTTTTCCATCAAAATAAGAAAAGAAAGAAAAAAGGAAGAGCTGGGAGGAGGGTGAATAATACCAATAAAAGCCAATGAAAAGGGATAAGGAAAAATGATCCAGCAAATCCATGAGGTAAAAGGGCTGCAGAGGCCCTGAACACCCCAGGTCAGCAGGTACCTTCACATTAATGATGGACCCAAGGAACAAGGGGAGACAAAACAAAATGAGCCTGAAGTGCCCAATTAGGCCTCTTCACCTCCAGTTGGGAGATCTCTGCAGCATAGAGCCAAGAGCAGGGGGCTCCACCCACCATCACCCACACTGTCCATACCTGGCCTCAAGTGCCACAAGACCCATTTCTGGCTTCCAAGTTGAATCTAGACAGATTCCAAAGATCCTATGAGAGCCTCTTAACATGGTGTTCCTGGGACAGGAAGTGGGAAAAGCAACATCAACACTAGCAGTGAGGTCTGAGGGCTGAGGACTGAGGATGGGCACAGGTTGGTGAAAGTAGGGTTTTAAAAATAAAGAGGGGAACTAATGGTACTGAACAAATTATGAATCTTAAGAAATAATGAGGCCTGGCAGTGGTGGCGCACGCCTTTAATCCCAGCACTTGGGAGGCAGAGGCAGGTGAATCTATGTGAGTTTGAGGCCAGCCTGGTCTACAGAGTGAGTTCCAGGACAGCCACCAAAACTACACAGAGAAACCCTGTCTCGAAGAAGAAAAAAAAAAAGAAAGAAAGAA